ATTAGCTTAACAAGTACGACAAATGGTTTTATTGACAAAAAAGAACCCTTTGAAATATACATTACATTCACAAAGGATTAAATTACACCCTATTATCCATTTTCCATAAAATAAAGATTACTTTGATAAATCACGACTAATGTTATCTTTGGCTGATAAGAACTCTGTGCTTATTTGTGTGGCTTCTATAAATAGTGTGTTCTGAATTTTTTTTCTCCCTAAATATAGTCAATGATACAGTCTGCCAGGCATTCTCCTCCAATTTGACAATACCACATCTGTGAACGAGGCAGCGATTGAAAGGTTCATTGTCTGAATACGAAACATGCAACAGTCCTTTTCTTTTTTGTCAGCTGCTCTGCAGTAATCTATCAAACACCTTTCAGCCAGATCTTGCTCGATCAAGGTTTCCTTACTGCTAAAGCAAGGTACTCAAAATAAACTTTTTTTTTTTTAAGAGAAAAGCCTTTGTGGTTCATCTTTTCATCGTATGCGAAGTCTGTGTGACAATTTAGCACAAGGGGGTCGTACTCCGATTTAGGCCTTAATATACATAAGATATGTGCATTAATGTACATAAGGTAAGTGTAAATTTTCAGGTGTAAAGGGCTCCTTTGCACTTTGTCTTTCCATAGCTTTGTACTAGAGGACTCTGCAGATTACTGAAGATTTACCTGCATCACCTTTGAGGGGTTGAACAAGACAGAAGCAGTGTCTTGGGTTTACTTCAGCCTCACACCAGCTCTACGTAAAGCAGCTCTTTACTCAAGGACGTAGACAACTGGGGTATTGGAAGAGGACTTTCGTGTGACAAGAGGTTCACCCACCTTTTGAGCATTTGGTGACCATGTCTCCTGGGCTAGTGTGAACATTCTCACTGGAGCACCAGGCTAGCAACCCAGCTGTGTGGCAAATGCCCCGTTTAGTATAGCACAGGAGCACATGCTCACCTTTAAAAAACTTTTGAAGAATTAGTTTGATTCTGAAAGAATGAAGTTGGCTTCCTACCATGCAGCAGACAGCTGGAGAGACCTGCTTTGCCATACGAAGGGCATTGCCTCTCCTGTTCTTCAAGATTAGTATCCAAATTCAAGACACATTCGTTTCTCATGGTTCGAAATCCTTTCAAGAAACAAACTGACTCCGAGTTCAACTACTGCTATGTACGTCACTGGGTGACCCAAAGCACCTTATTTTACTCTGAATTACACTTGGGTAATTGTTACAGGATCATCTTGAAGTCTAGTTTGCAAAGTGCTTAAGAGCAGGGGGGAAAAGAGCTAGAGGTTCTGGAAACCTTTAACAAGTAAATCCAATATGTGAGGGAGTTCAGTTATATGACATACTTTTTACTTCCACTGCCAATTTCTTCTAACCTGCATTTTGAAAATTCTCTGAACTATTCAAACACAACATCGATTTATGGCATCTAACCCTACCACGGCTGTTTTGGACAGGTGCCCCAGTCATAAGCAAACGGCTCTTTTTCTGCATTTTCCCTCAGAAGCAGGTGGCAGTAGATTTCAAACAAACCCACACCCACATCTGTGTTGCTTCTGGAGGGTGTGTTTTACTCATGGAAATATGTCTAATCCCTTCATTTAATTTCTAAAATTTTATAAGCTTCCCACCCCCTGGGTTGCCTGCAAAGTGACTCAGCAAGGCAAGCAAAGGGATCAAAGAACAGATAGAGTTTTTTAACTGAATGGAAAAGTTTAGCAGTTTTGAAAGTATTTTCCTCCAACACGTATTTCAAAAACTTCAGCAAAAATAATTACAGCTGAGTCTATTAACAGACAAAACGCAGGACTAGAGTCATAAATCTCGGAGAACAGGGAGGAGCACTCCGAAATGCTGGAAAACAAATGTATTATCACCTTTCCGAACCTCGTTTCTCTTTTCCTGTATTAGAAAACAAAAGATCACTGTGGCCGCGCTGCCATGTGCTTGCTCTAATTAAAATAACTTTTTTATTTTATTTCCATAGTGGTCTGTGTATTTATAAAGAGGGGAGGAGAAAATTGTACACACAGGATTGAAAACAGAGGCACTGTCACCAGTGAGGATGAACCACTCTGAGTCCAACTCAGACTCAACTCTGTAGCTTGCCGTTTGCCCGATATTCTGTGGGTGATAAAGTCCTGGGATCCCAATTTTGTTTCAGGGTCTCATATATTGGAGGTCAAAGACAAGGTCCCTATGTAACAACTGGAGGAAGATCTAGACCTTGGAGTCCTCAGGAGAGCCCTCTCATACGTGCCACAGGGACAAACTCCTCCTTGCTTATTCCATCTCATGCCTCTCATATTTTGCATTGATTTATGCACAGCTGCTAAATTCAGAAGAGAAAAAACAGAGCTGCCCCATCTCATGCTACACATCAGCCAAGGGTTTGGCTGCTCTCCAGGAAGGCGGGAGATGTCAATTCCAAACTCCTCTGGCTCAGAATCCAGCTCTCCCGCTTCTCACAAAAGCGCTCTTTGCATCAGACGATGATGCAAAAAGAGGCCTTTTATGCTTCTGTTCTCAGAACTGGGTTGTCAGTGTCAAATGCCCAGAGCACTGCCCACTATAGGCAGTACTCAAACAACTCCCTTTACCCAGTTTTCCCAAGAATATTGCTGTCCAGCATGGAAAAATGAACTCACTCTTTGAAGGCATGCCCCTCCATGTGAAGTGTTTAAGGACCGACAGCAGAAGTGCTGACTAACTCAGCCCAGCCAGGTGAGCGTCTCTTCTGGCACCGTGACGCTCAAGTGAGACCCACAGCAACTGGTCTGGACACGGATCTGGTACTGACAGCCGGAACGATGCCGTTCACCGCAACGCTTAGATGGTCACCCATCTAACTGAGCAATTAAAGGACTGCAGCTTCATGGTTCCTGGTGTGGGAATCCCAGGAATTTGTGAAGTAAAAGGGTCAGAAATGCCAAGCTAGAAAAGGCAGGTCAAAATTTAATCACCCTTTTCTTCTTCCTTTTAGGAAGGCAAGCAAGAGGAAAGAACACCACGGAAGACAGAAGTCAGTAAATCAAATGCTTTTATTGACGGTCTTTCTCATTTGTGACCCTTTGTCATTTACTTTAATTGCACAGACTGAAATTAGTGATTGACTTCAATTTTTATAAGTTACAACTTTTATAGCTTTCGCATTTTTATTAAGAGGAGATAAAATCATGGATTAATCTCTACATGGACTCAAATATAGGAAGCAACTTCTTACTAATCCTCATGCAAACTACTGACTGATTATTGGAGACTGAGGTTGAGTGTAATTTCAGAAAAAAGTTCACTCGTATGAGTATGTTAAATCTAATAACAAGCTAATTTACAATCCTTTCACAACTGATGTAATTTTCGCATATTAGATAATAATTATAGGCATATTAAGCACTATTAACATTATTAAACAACAATGAAGAGCCTTCTGAATCTATACTATGGTAATGCAAAATCTGAGTAATTTAAAGTGCCTTACTTGGTAAAAGAGCATAATTTTCCATTAGAGCTTTTCCAAGCTTCTAGAATTTTTTGTCTCCAGGTCTGGAGTTTTTAAACAGAACAAATCTAACATTCACATGTACAGAAGAACTTACGCTCGATTCAAGAACTCCAGGGACACTGACACTTTCAAATCTTTTTCTATTATACCAACAAATTATGCCCATTTGGAAAAGGAGCTATTGCTTTATTGTAGTACTACCAAGGAAGCTGAATTCTGAGCACACTACATGTATCTTTTGCAATGAGTTTTCCGAGAGACTAGAATGTATTGCTGCTGCTCTTCCCTATTTCTTGCTCTTTTGCAAGCATACACTAAACTGCGGACTTGGCTGTCACTAAGTATATCTATTATATGGAGAATATTATTATTGATAAAAATAAAATACCTTAGTTATTCAGTACGAATGGCTGCTCATCTCCCCTTTGATGCATATATATAAGCCACATCTAATGAGTGCAAACTCTGGCAACTGTAGAAACTCTATGGCATCCATACAACAACAAAGAAGGGGGAAAAAAAACGTTAAATGCTTCCAACAAAACAGTTAACTTAAATTATCCTTAAAAACAAACAAACAAAAAATCTAACCCCTAACCACCCTAAATTCTTTTCACTAACTTTTTGTTTCTTGAAGGTTTCTCTTTAACAAGGCTTTCCTAAAAGAAGAATATGTTTAAGGAATTTGTAGAGAATTTTCAGAAGGCCCAACAGAAAACAAATGTCCTACTTATCTATTTTCCTCTTTTACTGGAAGCAAAGGTCCTCTAAATCATAACTTTTTATATAACAAGGATTTCTACACAGAGCACGCTTAGCTTTGCACCGAAGGAGTAAAGAAATGAAACCTTCACTCATGGTTTTCTACGCATCAGCCTAGAACAACTACACACTTCAGCTGCCCCACATTATTCCCAGGACAACCTGTGGCAGTCGCAGGTGAATTTAACCGTAATTTTCAGGAGCACCACTGCAGACACATAAACCATGAAAATACCTTGGTGGATTATTAACTGAATAAATGCTTGTACTAGAGCAGATGGATTTTTATTTTTTTTACTTAAAAAAAAGGCAAAACAAAAATCACAAACATGTGAAGGATACATACTGCTGTGCAAAGCATTTTCCTAACCTACATTGTTATCGGTCCCAGCCTTAAGCAATCTGCAAGTTTCAACTGATATAAGGATTCCTACAAAATGATTGCACTAAACCAAAATCCTTCAGTAAAACAAAATTATACAAATAATTTAAAGCATTATTTTCAGGTTATGTACATGCATGTAGTTCAAATATTTCTTTTTCTTTCAGAAAATACCAGAACTAGCAACAATGATAACGGATTCAAAAAAAATACACAAATTTTGCCCCAAAGACTTAATCAACAGGATTTGAAAAACAGCATCAGATATTCTGAAATTATTTATGAGCTGTAAAAGTGATGGACTTGAGACATTCAAAGTATATAAGCTGTATTAAAATTACAGTTATCAGCATTTACTAATGATAGGCTGAGAAAAAGAATGAAAGAAAGGGAAAAGAGCAAATAAAAATATCGTCAAGGTCGTAAGAGACACTGGTTCAATCTGTAGTTGAAAGGATTATGTACAGCAAGGAAAAAGCTTCTTTCTCCTTTACTCCTTTTTTCAAAGAGATTGCATATTGTCAAGGTCCATTTCCATTAGAGGAATACATTAAAATAATTTTTAATCTATATTCTATTTTCTGGCCTATAGAAGGTATTTAAAGACACAAGAAAGACTAGACTTCTGCCAAGCAGATTAAACAAAACTGCATTCCTACATATTTGAACCATACAGTTACACATCAAATTTCAAAACAGGAAAAACTCGATGCAAATAACAAATACAGCATTATGGATTCTGATAAACCCGGGGGAAGCAAGACTATGAAAGCAGTGCCTGAACTTGATGAGGAGATCTGTGTAGTATGGTTTCTGGATCCTTGTACTCATTTGAAGGATCCATCACAGCTGCATATAACTCACTGTAAGCTCTGCAGACCAGTTCTGTCGACTGTTTTATTATCTGCTCTCTGAAAAAGAAAACAAAAACATAATTTTCAAATCATAGGGAATATTACTGTCCGACATACAAGGAATTAAAGATATACACTAAAAACCCACATTAAAAATCAGTGCTGATGACATTAAAAAGCCCCTTTACTTCAACTGTGAAAATGACTTGAAGTTTTAAAACAAAAGAAGGCTTCTTCATCTCTTTGTACCGTACACAGATAAACCCACATATATGATCCTGATAACCAACCAACTAGCTTCTTTATTTCTGCAATCATGAAGAAAATAGTAGAAGGATTTAAGTTGCATACATTAATTTTACACCTGCACTCCCCTGCAACTTTTAAAAGACTGATAATCTTAGTGATCTACCTTCTACCTCCTGTGGCTTCTCGCTGGCCTCTGTAAATACACACATTTTTTTGATCTACCAGCAAATATATTATATTTGCTTTATCTCGACAGCACCTGATTCCATAATCATTCAAAAAGGAAGAGCTGAAAGTGATAGCATACCAGCAAATATATTATATTTGCTTTATCTCAACAGCACCTGATTCCATAATCATTCAAAAGGAAGAGCTGAAAGTGATAGCGGTCAGAGATTTAAAACGACCTACAGCCCTTTTACCAACAATGCTATAAAGTCTGTATCCTGTTATTTTTCTGCATCTAAACGAGTAACAATGCACAGAGATTGGGTGCTAAATGTAACCGGAAAGCTTAATGTTTTCTTAAGAGAAACTAATATTTTTATGTTACATTGCCCCTTGAATCATTTACGCTAATCATGGTGATGTGTTTACAGTTGTCCCTGCATTTTTATCTATCAGAAATAGTAGTTACAACTACTTTACAGCCAAATCTATGCAAGTGGAACATCAGGAGAAACTGAGGAAATCAAGGTAACCATGAATGCAGACTGAGCTCTGCTATAATACTCAGAAAAGGAATAAAGACACCAAAACTGCGTCCACTAAAATCAGGGCTGAATTTATCAGCAGTTGGGAACTGACAAGTTAAAGAAATCTCAAAGACTAAGTGCATAGAACTTCATCTTTGCAGGAAATATTAAGAAACGGAAGCTATGAGAAAGAAGATTAAGAGATATAACCTGCGTTCTATTCTGATGAAAAGTATCCAGTTTTTCAATACTCAGGATCAACTGCCAGTATCACTAGATTATTAGAACACCTGAAAACCAGACTGGTCTTATAATAGCAAATTTAGGAACACTATGATATGGGAAATATATTCAAAGTGTTCAGGTAAAACAATTGTCTGTGAACACAGTTCAGGATCACTAAGCTACTCTAACATGACAACCTTTTAATAAAGTATTGCACACAGAATTTGTATAAAATTAACTGTATTGCATCAAATAATACTAAATTAAAAGAAAAAGTTCATTAACATATTCCAGAGGATTGAACAGCATCAAATGAATCTTTCCATCACATAATGTCAGTGTCATTAATCAGTACATTAGGATTCCAGTTGCCATAACAACATGATACATTTTATCACTAACACAAATGGCAGCACTTTCTAAAAATAGTAATTCCAGCATTCGGTTTCTGTGATCCAACACAAATGAAAAGAGCTTTTCGAGACCAACAACACACAAATCAATAGCTTAAAACTTCTTAAATGAGCAATAGTCTTTGAAAGACAAGAGCATGCACTGGCAAATGTTGGAAGAAATGTTCCTCACAACTGTAAAGCTTAAATGATACTGCCAGTGAGTATGTAATATGCTGGTCCCTTATCAAAAGCATGTGGTCTGATTTTGAGAACCACAGAACTCCTGGGTTCCACCTCAATCACTGGAACAGTGGATCACAATTACGTGATTTCAAGGAAGACGTCTTCAAAACTGACATCCAATGTCTGCAAAATTAACGTGAAAATTTCAACTACTATAGCCAGAAATTAAAACTATAGTACTGATTAAATATTTTGCTTGAATTTTGAGAAACTTGAATTTTATAGGCTCGTTTGCTACAAAAAACGCTGACTATTAAGACCCTGATTCTATAGGCATGCATCTTGTAAATAGGTATCTTAACTTCAGAAGGATTGCTTGTGTTTAAAGCTACATGTTTGAAGGCTAAGGGGTTAACAGACTTTTTTTTTTTTTTTTTAATTCAGAGCAGAACCTGACCTATAGTGTTGAGTTATAGAAGGTCAATAAACTCCTGCATGTTAGCTGAGCTGCAGCAGCTATAGCAATCATCCTCACACAGGCTCACCTCTCAGCTGCCCACTGTAGCAAGACAACATGAATTCGGCTTAAAATGTGCTAAGAGAGGTTTAAAAAGCTTATCAATGGGATAAGGCTAAGAGCGCATATGTGACCAGTTTATCTTGGTTCATCTGACAGAAGAAATGATTAAGTCAAAGTCATTTCACTGTGTTTGAGTCTTTATGGTAGCATAAAGTCTACTTCTGAAAAATTGCTTCTGTGTTAGCAGTGAAAAATTGAGGTTTTCAAAATACATTTACTGTTATTATGATTTTTAACTAGACCTACATTAAAAAAAAATATGAAGAGCTAAAATACAGGTTTAATAGCTTGACAGCTAGAAGCGGAATTTGCACTGCTTCAGTGACATTACTGTTCAAGCCACCCTGTTTGATCTGTACTGGAGCAGAACAGCTCTCACACAACAGGGTCAGCTCTGCCAGCTGAGCTGTGGGAACGGTAACTCGAGCAGTGAAAAGCACCAACATCACCCATGCACCAGGTATATGGCATGAAACTGGAAACTGAAATGGGGAGAGGCTGTTCAGGAGGGCCTGTTGTGATAGGACAAGGGGTAATGGTTTTAAAATAGAGGGAGGTAGATTCAGATTGGATATTAGGAAAAAATTTTTTACCATGAGAGTTGTAGAACACTGGAACAGGTTGCCCAGAGAGGTGGTGGATGCTCCATCCCTGGAGATGTTCAAGGCCAGGTTGGACGAGGCCCTGAGCAACCTGATCTAGTTGGAGATATCCCTGTTCCTTGCAGGGGGGTTGGACTAGATGACCTTTGAAGGTCCCTTCCAGCCCTAACCATTCTATGATTCTATGATTCTATCTTTGGATAAGGAAGAACCTGAGCCATACAGCAGGAGAATCTGGCAGTTGGACTAGCTGATCTTTGTATGTCTCTTCCAACTGAACTATCCTATTCTAATAAATTTCCAACAACAAATATTTTTCCCTTGTCATTAGTAATTTTTTAATTGCAAGATGCTGTAATAAAATCCCACTGAGGACAGATACTAGTAATGAGACTCCACATTATATAAAACCTGAAGTCTTAATTTCTGGTATATTCTGTAACCTGCATTCTTCACAAAAGCATGAAAAATAATGTCAAGAAAAGTTTTTGATCAGTGCAGCATGTAATTCTCTGAGTTTAAGTATTACAAAATGTCCTCCTATGGTTCACATTTAATTGGAAAGAAATTCGTGGCACTTTCCCTAGCCTTAGGGTTCAGTTACATTCAAAAAACAAGAGAAGAGATAAATAGTAAAGTTCTTGCTTCCATACTTCAAAGAAGAAATCACTAAAAAGAAAACGTATTAGGTGAAAAATAAAGTAATCTCAGCACAATATTCAATGAGACAGAATGCCAATACTCTACAGCAGAAGACAACAAAGTTGAAAACTCTACACTTGACAGAGCAGCGGGGATAAAAGAAATCTTGAGTGGAGAACTACATATTTCACCTGTCTTTGGAATGCCTACAAAATAGTTCTAAAACAATCTACAACTAGGTTGACAAAAAACTGCCGACACAGAGGAACACATCCAAAATTTATGAATGTAATTCATTTTGATGGTGTCCATTAAATCAATAGTAACTACTTCAGAAAGTTACAGAATTACATATTCCTCACTGCTTATTCAAAAAGAAGAGAGCCTGAACAAAACCGAATTGTGACCTGAAGGACAATGCAAATATGATCACAGCTGATAACTTGCATTCTCATCATGATCCACTAAAACCTAATCAAATTCATCTTTCTGATCATTATGCAGGCATAATAGAAATTCAAAGGTAAGGTACTTACTTCACAGTGGCACTCAGAAGGAAATTCAGCTGGGACATTAACAGACTATCTGGAGCAGACAGATAACGATCAAACTGAGCCTGGCGGGGGGGGTGGTGGAAAAAGAGAATATGAGATCAACATACTAAAAACTTGCTGTTAGATGAAAATAGGTAAAAACACAGATCTCTGAAAAATGATTACATTAAAATGGCACCTCATTATTTGATAAAAAATTATCTTTTTTGTATATTTAATATAGAGCCTAACATACTATACAAATGTTTAAGGTAGAACTTGACAGCCCAAACCAAATGTCTAACTTCAGCATCCCTGTCACCAAAATTTTAAGTTTCTGACTCTGGGGCAATGGAGGGGCAAATAATGAGCATATAGCTTCCATAATTAGATATTTAAGTTTCCTATGCAGCTCGTGCATGTATACACTCACCTCTGAAGATGAGACCCAGTCTCATCTCACCCGTCGGAGAAGGACTTTTTACAAGGGCATGTAGTGATAAGACAAGGGGTCATGACTTTAAACTGAAAGAGGGGAGATTTAGATTAGATATAAGGAAGAAATTCTTCACTCCAAGGGTGGTGAGGCACTGGAACGGGTTGCCTAGAGAAGTTGTGGATGTCCCATCCCTGGAAGTGTTCAAAGCCAGGTTGGATGAGGCTTTGAGCAACCTGGTGTAGTGGAGGGTCTCCCTGCCCGTGGCAGGGGGGTTGGAACTAGATGATCCTTGAGGTCACTTCCAACCCAAACCATTCTATGATTCTATTTGGAGTAGAGGTAATACAGTAGCCTCCACACAGAAATCTAGTCTGTCCAAGCTAGATATGTTGCATGTTTCTTTTTACATATTTCTTTTCACGTGTTTCTTTTATTTTTTGGCAGGAAGTCATTGCTTAATGACCTAACAAGCACTTACGTTGGGAAAAACAAGAGCAAGGGACCTAGTTCAGGTTCCTCGAACTGCTTCTAGACCTACTTCTCCTTCCCCACATAATACAGGAAAAAAAAATTGTGGTGCTTTGATTCTAGCAGTTTGGAGAGGAAAACATTAATAAAGAACATCACTGTTGTCTTCAACTACTTATCAGAGAAGTTGTGGATGCCCCATTCCTGGAAGTGTCCGAGGTAAGGCTGGATAAGGCTTTAAGCAATCTGATCTAGTGAAAGGTGTCTCTCCCCATGACAGGGAGGTTGGACTAGATGACCTTTAAAGGTCCCTTTCAACCCAAACCATTCTATGAATCTGATCAAATGGGTGACTATAGAGAAGATGGAGCCTGTTCTTCTCACAGGTGAAAACATGAGAAACACTGGACACATACTACACTAAGGAAAATTCTGATTACATAGTAGGAGGGAAAATTCTCATCAGGAGTGCCATCAAACACTGAACAGGTCACTCTGAAAAGCTGTATACGAACAACTTAACAGTCTGGGACCTGGAAAACGTTCAGGTTAAGTTGGGCTGTCTGCAAGTAATCTCTCCACATGGTTTAAATCCTGGGAAGCCAATAGATTAAGCTGATAGATGGGATTTATCTGGGTTTGATTTCAACATACCGGGTTCCATTCTAGTTAAAGTGTGTTCACACAAGCAGACATTAAACAAAGTAATGAAGAAAATAAAACAGTTGGATTCTTCTCTAACTATTCAAATGAATTATGTACCGCTATAGATAAGAGAGTTGATGGCCCCCAAGCTGCAGTCTTTAAATCCCTCGTTGGTCTACAAGACCATGATAAACAGAAGATATTCTAAGTGCAAAATTTATAAATGTTGGTAAGAATGCACGCTGATCTGAGCAAACCACTGAGTGATCTGTGCCAGAGCTCTGTCCATCGAACCAGCTTGGGAATCACTGGTTTAAAACTCGAAGAGAGGAAAACAGGCTTCACTGACACAACTAGGAGGGATTCAACACACAATTTTTAAAAGACCTTTTTTTAAAAACATTTCTTTTAAAAAGCTCTTTTTTTTGTGGGGGTATACATGTACCGCTGGATGAGTGGGCCTTAATTAAACTTTTGGAATAAAGCTAAACTTGGCTAAGCAAGAAGAGTGACAGATCATATATTGTTGTCTGCTGAACTGTGATATTGTTATCTCTATGCAAAATAGCCTTCACACACTCCCAGAAAAAATATTGGCTGATAATTTGTTTGAAAATGTATTGTAGTTTTCAACTTAAAAAAATATAACTGTGACATATGCCCAGCACCTAACTTCTGAGTTTAGCTGAACTATTTGCATAAAAAGAAAGCCTTAGGACCAAAATTATAAACGACAGCAGAACCTGTATTTCAAAGCATACAGGCAAAAAAAACCCCCACCTTTCGTGATTAAAACTAATTAGAGCTAAGTATTTGCTTTTAGCAATATAAGAAGACTCATGGGGTAACATTCTTCTAAGTTCTGTTTCTCAAGGCTTAGAAATTAACTAACTGTTCACAAATAATTTATGTATTTATTACTCCAAGTGATCAAATTATTACAAATGAAGAAAGTATTACCAGATATGTAATTTAGCTATTCTTAAAGAGTATCACTGGTTAGATGAATATCTACTACACCACATAATTAACAGCATTCTTTCCCATGTCACAGCATCACCACCATAATACGGAATTGTAAAATACTTACCATCGCAACCTTCAGGGACACGGAATCCATACTTGGCAAATTTGAAAGAGGACCCTAAGAGTCAGTAGTCAAAGAGAGGGTGTAAAAAAAGGTCATACTAGCATATGGAAAAGGGTAGGAAATAATAAATTCTACAGTCAGTTCAGTACTAAATTTTTTGGTCCTGCTGCAGGATCTTAAATCACTGAATCACCATATCAATACTGAAATGCTGTAACAGTTCATTTGTATTCTACTGCTCTCTTGAATTAAAAACTCAGAATACTGAGTTTCTAATATGTCCTTTCAACTCCTTCTCTTCCTTCTTCACCATTAAATCATAAAACCCCAAAAAAGCCTTCCACAAGGTCTAGGCTAAAAACTGAACTGCACACTGGCCACATCTCCTTGGTGTTCCAGAGTTACAGAGGACAACTTAGCTCTATTCATCTGTTCTCAGACTATGCAGAACTCAAGTCTGCTTCCTGGCAAATATTCTGTGCTGGTATGGCATTAGAATGTACACACGCTGCCTAAATCCCTAGCAACTCCTGTGACAACATCACCTCTGAAGACAGGCAGCTGGACAGATACAAATGAAAATTGCTACATTCCATTAAACAATCTACCCCGGTCTATTTGAAATTGGTTGGCTTATGAATAGGAAATCATGCTGAGTTATTAATCAGATTATTTATACATTTATTTATTCTTCTTTATAAATAAAAATCTGTTGAGTCAGGGCACTTTATGCAAAATTATTAGCTGAAGAAACAACACAAAGCTCTCCAACAGTATTCTGCTTTCCCCAGAAAACACTGTTCTTCGCCTTCACAAAAGACCACAAAAGGACATAGGCACAGCTGAAGGGAAGAGGGGCTGTATCAACACCTATCACATAACAACTGTGGTTCACAAGAAGGGAAGAGCATGAGCTCTGAATTCCAGTTTTCAGCTCCCTCTAAGTTTTCACTTTTAGAATCTCACTGCCTTGGTGCTAGAATAACTAGAATATGAACAAGGACAAAAGAAGAAATTATTTCAAATTACTATCAAACTCATCTGCCATTTTCTCCACAGAAGAAAAAAGCAGTAATTGTCTAAGGCACGCAGGGTACGCACTCTGTGCACGGCGCGCAATGGAAGAAACCTGAATGCTGCATGCACTGTAGGTCCAGTACGTTCTAGATGTCATGCAACTAGAATACATACTCTGTAGTTGTGTTTCAGAGCCAGCTTGACCCCAACGCTTTCTGAGGTGTATTAAGCTACCTACACAGTTATTCTGAGAAGGTACAGGATGTCTGTGGTGTACGGAGCCTGCTGATGGTACCCAGATAAGTTGCACAGAAGGACTGTTGCACACCAAACCTGCTAGGCTTGCTGAATATATACAGTGTAGGGGAACTCTGTACTTGCAAAGTGCCTAATAGTCCTGGTCCCATGAGAAAATCAATAGATTACTGAGGTTTTGCTTTCAGAGGAGGCTTAATTTGCAAAAACATTAGTGCTAAAATTCTTCTAGTTGGCAGGTATGCAGTACCTCCTCAACATGTACATTACATGATCTTACCTGTTCCGGCTTGTGTTGCTGCACGGAGTTATATATGTAACTTAGACCGGCTTTTGTTAACACGTAGGAAGCTTGTTCATTTATGAGTGTATCTAAATGAGCTTCAATCTGAAATTTTAAGCATAAGGTATTTATAAAATATGCATGAGAATATTAAATAGAACAAGCTCTGGGGTTAAAAGGTCTAGAAACACAAATAAGAAGAAAAAAAACAAGTAAGAAGAAAAGGCAAGTGATCAACAAACAAGGAAAAACCACAAAGACATACAGCATAATTATTTTATCCATTTACATCTTCCATATTATAAGGAGCCAGTAATAAAAATATCGATAATTCTTTCATGTCTGACTAACAGAATAACCCATTTTTTTTTTGATTTGTAAATTCAACAGCACCAAAAGTTAAGAATACCAAAACTCTAATCTTAAAAATTGCTATATAACTTTATTTTGCTATAGTTCTTCGAAAATATGTGATAAAAATAATACAAATCTTATTGAAAATATTGACAATAGCATGGCAGTTTTATAATAAACAAGAGAAAGAGTCTTTCACAAGGAAAATAAAACCGAAACTAAATCATAATCAGTAATGCTTTTAAATTCAATAGTGATAAACGTGTATTTGAAAAAAGTTAACTGAAAGAACAATAGACAATGAATCTACAGCTATCAATTTTGCTTTAATTATCTTCATATGAAAAAAGTCATAAACGTATTCTACATTCTTAGCATAATCTTCACTTCGCAGAGAAACCTAACCAATAAATCCAGTCACAGCAGCAGCAATCGTTTTTCAGTTTGAGTAGTCCTGGAAAGATATTTGGGTATATATGCATTATTACTTCATTTTTACAGATAACTAGTTGATTCCTTTTATTTTTCTTTCAAACCTAAAGAAAAGCAAAAATTTATAATACATCAAATTCTAGCAAAATGTAAGTCTTCCATGTCTGATATTTTAAGAGTTCACCTTTTCACTTCCTAAAATTGTTTAGAAAAATGCACTTTTCTTTTTAAATCATGAGGGAAATCTTAATATTTCCATTTGGAGATTTTAACTGTCTTAGAGAGTTCTTTTTTTCTATGAAAAATACTTCTCTTATTAAATATGTCATTCTAACTCCACTTTAATAACCTACTTATGGATAATCTTAAAGATATTTTTTCAGTCTGTTCCTGTATTTGTAAAACGTTTGAAGAAAGTAAATGGTATTAAATGCATAACCTTCAGTTCTACTGCTTATTTGAAGAATAAATCAATTGCAACATTTACTGTGAAGAAGAAACTCTGATAATGTAAATTAGAAATGCCCCAGACAGTTTGGTGGGGTTGTCTGTTTGTTTGTTTCAGAGTTAAAAGGTGCTAGAAATTCTAATTAGGAGTAGAAAGCAAAAAATGGCTCACAGCCAGTCTTTACTGACACCTTCAAATAAGAAGTTGTGCCTTTTTTCCAAGCCCCCCAGCTCCAATATCTCTCCTGAGATACATTGCAGAGATGTTCATGTACCAAAACTATAAATGGGCAGTGCTCAAGTTTCCCCAAGTCAATGGTTTATTATAAACTACATTTCCATTTCAAAATGGTACCACTTAGGAACTACTATCCTGGCACGTCAGGTGAAACCAAATAATTAACAAAAGAAAGGCAGAAAGGAGCCCTGAAGCAGTAACTTCAACTATACTATATTCTAGTATAAACAAGATGATCTAATATTAACTGTATGATGGGATATAGTCAGCCATTTGACTCTTTGAGCTTTCAACTTTCATTTGCTCCTTCTCACACAGTTTGCAGATAAGTATTAGAATGAGTAGGATAATGAAAACGTTCACTGATATGGGTTTATCTGCAACTAAACCAAACCAAATCTGCTAATCATTTTCTTTTTCTGTTTAAAATAAATGACGCTGTGTACCATAAGCTCTGATACCTGCTATTTGCTTATGGTGTCTGATAAGAACTCCTCTTATCCCATTTCCTTGATTTAGAATTGACCCAAAACTAACATTATCAAAGATAAATACGTTCACATCACCACGTATAGTCTGCAAAAAATCAGTAATTTAAAGTTCATTTTCTTTTGGGGCTGTTAAAGCTTACCTGAAACTGTAACATTTCTAGACGTTTGTCAGTGAATTCAAAGAGAGCCAACGTAGTCTTCATCATATAAAGTGAATTTACCATGAAGGTTGCCATATCAGCTGTAGCCAAATTACTAGCAGACACCGTACACATCTGTAACAATGGATCTAGCACACAAGACAGAACCTAAAATAGAAAACACACAGAAAAGACAGAGGGGAGGGAGGAAATCATGTCACATGAGGCTTCTAAGCTCATTCTGTCTCTATGATGTATTTATTCCCCAAAGCAGAACAAAGAGAAATGAGAGTTTCCAACTGTGAAAGCAGTTTTCTACTGGATTTGTCAGCAGGTGATCAGCTACCATAGTGATGGGAAAAGTATAAAAACCTGAGAAGAAGAGATTCTAACCTAGCAGGAGGAAGAGTAACCCAGATTAGATAATTGGTAATTGTGCAATCTTGAGGGTGTATTTACTTAATGGAGTAGTAATTGGATAACAGAATTTAGATACTGTGTTAAGAGTAGCACTCCATACTGTACTGTAATTATCCACTTTGTTAGTCACCATCTTATTCACATTACAAACTTGGGTTTGGTAGAAAGCTCTCAAATGGGACCCAACAAAGAAGATTACTGTTTCACCCATCTTTGGTGAACCAAGACTAACTTACACACAGGTTTTTTTTTCCCTCCTCTTCAGAGCAGCCAAACACTCTTATACCTGCACAAAGTCAGCTTGACGGGCATCCAGTGGAACAACAGATGAGTCGTGAGATGACAGAACCTCCCGTAGCAAGTTAAGTGTCTGATTCAGTGCAGAGCTTGGGCCAAGATCAGGAGGGGGGAGTTCAACCTGAAGAACAAGATTATCTGTTCGTGGGGGTTTTTTAATCTCATTTACAGAAAACATCATCCAATCTGTTAACAAAAATGCAATGAGCTAATAATAAAATCACATGTAGCCACTCAGAGAAGAACTTTAATTTGACACTGGACAAATCTACTAGGTTTCAGATAATAATTGCCTGCAATTATTAATAACCATCTCATTCAGGGACAAACAGGCAAGACTGAACTTCTCCTTTCACTCAGACTATGCCTATTTTATAATCTAGAGATCTAGAAAAACCCAAATATGACCATTTTTGGTAGTAAAAAAAAAAAATTTCCTAGATTAGGTGCCAAAGAATAGTCACGTTGTTGCCACAACTGAGTTCACTTTGAGCAGGACCTCTTGTAAACACTCCAGAATCTTGGATATTAGGGCCATGGCCATACTGCAACAGCTGAATGAAGTCATCTTGACAAGGCTGCACAGTCCTTGTCATGCTGAGTATGACAGCTGCAGTCACAGATGCAATAGTCTTAACCCCCAGCACGTTTTAACCTTAAATTACCAGTACACAAATGAACAGTGTACAAACTAACTCAAGTACACCTACATAAACCGCAGCGATACTCCGAGAACCGGAATGCACGCCCACCTCAAAGATAAGAAGTAAGAATCACAGACAGTTAAAAAAAACCCAGAAAGAATAAAAATTTGTAAATCTTACAGAAAGCACACACTTTCAGAGTCAAATTATGAAAAGCTGGAGCACCTGAAATGGACTGAAATTCTATGCTATTTTTAACACAGGCTCGCATACTTTATCCCTTCTTTATAACAGGCAAATACCCACCAAGTGCTTCGTAAAATGTTTCTATAACATAAAACCTAGCACATCTCTCCCAGCTCACATTCCCTAGGCTTCACTCCACACGTAGTGGCATCTTCTTGTCTCCAATGTTGCCTCAAACTGGCTTCCTGCAGCCTCCAGACCCTCCCTACAACCTGGGCTGCTGCCCTCCTTTCCTCCTGCCGACAACTCTCTTCCTGCCCTCCTGTCACCTGGCTACCCAGGGGCAAACACGGATCTGGCTGGGTCGCATGGGAGTCAGGAGACCTCCCAGCAATACAGAATCAGTGAACGCTCCAAGGCATGATCTCCTCCCAGTAGGATGCAGGGAGAGGGAACGAAAACTGGCCTGGCCTGGAACTGGTCTGTGCGTCTTGCTGAAGGTGTGTGGGTGCAAGACGGGACAGCAGCGCGCACTTCTGCATCACTCTTCGGGCTCCGGCTCGACAAGAAAAGAAGACAGCTTTGGATGGACCCACGAGCCACACGCAACACACTCCATACCATCCCAAATGAGAACTACTGATAATTGTAGTATTATTATGTAGCATAATAATGTACATGTCAATCTTCAAGGAAGAAAAAAAGTAATGAAAGGGGCAGAGGCTGTGTCCTGGTTTCAGCTGGGACACAGTTAGTTGTTCTTTTTAGCAGCTAGAAGAGCTCTGTGTTTTGACTGATGGCCAGAGAAACCAAGGAGAGTGTAACAGACATTTTCAGAGTGGATCATTTCAGAGCCTCCTGGAAATGAACCTGCACGTACTGAACGTGCCACCAGAGGAAGACGAAACAACCGTCTCTCTTTGGAGCCAGGCCCAGTTTTCACACTGTGCGTGTTTCGAAACATCTGAGATACTGTGCGTGTCCCCGCATCCTTTTTTGCATCCTTCTGAATACGAAGTGTTCCTCTATTCTCCCTTTCCATAAGACAGTATACTGAATTCAAGGAACTAATGGAAAACTAAATCTAATAGGTTCAGAGAACAGTTGTTCAGCCTAAGCAGTCTTGAAGGTATAAAATGAATACGAAGTAATTCAGAGAGAGGCACTTACTCAGTGCTGATTAGCAGTAAAGTTTACTGAAATTTACAGCACCGAGTGACATTCTTCTTGTTTATTCTTGTTCTTATTATTAGGGGTATTGATTGTGCCGTGAACACACTGTTCTCAGACCTGAACTGGACCGTGTTCAGGGATATTTTGGCATTAATTTGAGAGCAGAGTTTGATGGGGTTTTCACTTCCAACATACACATAGATCATGGCAATGATAATTTCAGGCTTCTTTGCACAGAATTTTTGTCTCTTGAAGTAGCTGATGGTCAGAAGCTTCTAAATTAGCTTAATCTTTCATTTAATCTGTTCTCTTAAAGTCCACTGTCTTCTAGGTGGGAACAAGGAACAACATTATGGTAGAAAAAAACATGGCACGGAAAAAAGGTCTAGATCATTAGATTCTATTTGGGTCAGCCTAAAACTCCTGACTATTGCAACACAGGCAAAATTATCAGTAAGTGGAAGGAAAATTAAAGCAGTGCTATATTTATTTTGGAAATTCTAACCTTTTGCACATTGATGTAGAGTGGAGTTTTTTTCAGAATTAATAAGGAAATGAATTCTCCTAAAATTACAATGGACACTAGAAGTTGTACATGAGGTTTAGTATAAAAGGTTGTATCTTCATTTAAAGTTCTGCATATCAATCAGTGAGGAGTAATTACTAAGCCAGTAATGTTCCTCCAAACACACAATCCAGAGCAGGCTTCCCTGTCTACGAGAACAAGTAGCTCAAAGGATGTCTTGAAGGATTTAACAAACAGCAAAGGAAAATACAGGAAAAAGAAAAGGGAGTATCAACAATCAAGACGAGAGCACATATATGTTAATTGATTCCCCTTCTTGTTTATCAAGGTTAAATGGAAAAAAAGTATGCGCAATTTTTGCTCCTACGAAATATAGCTAATTCTATTAAGGGCCACAAAGTTCATGGACTGGAGTATTTCCTACACAAGGAGAGGCTGTGTTCAGCCCAGAGAAGAGAAGGCTCAGGGGGGACGTTATCAATGTGTATAAACACCTTATGGGAGGGATAAAGAGGGAGACAGACTCTTCTCAGTGGTGTCCAGCAACAGGCCAAGAGGCAATGGGCACGGATTGAAACAGAGGAAAACAATTTTTTACTGTGAGGTTGGTCAAACACTGGAGACAGTTCTACAGTGAGGTTGTGGCATCTCCATCCTTGGAGACATTCAAAACTCAACTGGAACCAGTCCTGGGCAACCTGCTGTAGCTGAAACCGTGCAAGATGGTTGAACTTGCAATTGTTCTGCGATTGCAAGATGATCTCCAGAGGTTCTTGCTGATCTCATCCATTCTGCAATTCTGTGACACTAGTATTAAATAAAACAAGATGGTAATTTAAACCACAGAACTCCTCAGAGAAAGTACTGCTCAGAGTGACAAACAAAAGGCTGGTGGCTTTTTGAAGGGCCTAATCAGCTTTTAATAGTCTTTTTGGAAACCACACTGACAGAGGATGGAGATAAAGCACTACAGACATGAAACCTTGTAAAAAGGTATCTGGAGATTTCATCCTGTCAGTTACAACGGGTTAGTGTCAACTACAGAAGTTCATTCTACAAATTGAAACAATTTTCACCATAGTGAAACAGCAGCAGTCTAAGAAACTCGAGTGTATGTCTACAAGTGAAGTTTCAGAGAAGCTGTCCTAAGCTCTTTTGAGTCCTATAAGGATCCTACAGAGATCTCCACAGGTTCCACAGTAGAATGCCTAATGGCATGCTTTTCTTTTCAGCTATCAAGTTGGTACTGAAAGAAAAGACACAGAAAAATTCTTGCTAACTAACTTTGTTTTTCTCACATCCAGATTGGAACAGCATTCAGACCACATCAACCAGCCTCATTTCATCTGTCCCATATCTGGTTTCCCAGAAACCTGATAGGTTTCATTCTGACAGGAACCAAATTATGAGGGAGAAGTTTACAGTTATTCTCATGCAATGCTGTGCTGGGTTTACGTGATGGGGTTTCGGTAGCAGGGGAGGGGCTGCAGAGATGGCCCCTATAAGGAGCTGAGAGAAGCTTCCCCGGCTCCAAAACCTGTTGGATCAGCCTCTGGGCAGCTTGGGCCCCGCCATCCCCTCCGGCCAGGGCTGAGCCGATCAGCACCTCTGCCAATGCCCTATTTAAGAAGGGGACAAAAGAATCAGAGCCATGTGGGACCTGCACTGAAGAGGGGGGGTGGACTGGCCCTCCTGCCTTCCTGGACGGGTGACTGCCCGCGCTGGGCCACTGCCACCCAACTGGAGATGGCCACAGCAGCACGGCTTGGAAAGCCCTGAAGTGCCGCACTCCCGGGGCACCCGCTGGGCAGTTTTCCTGCTGGGACTGCTGAGGTTGGGCTGGTTGGGCCCAGCAGAGGTGCAGCAGAGGGAGGACTGAGACCTGAGATAAATAGTCACACAGACACCAGTTCAGTGAAGATGGAGCAGGAGGAGGTGTGCCGGAGCTGAGAATCCCCTGCAGCCCATGGAGATTAACGATGGAGCAGAGATCCACCCGCAGCCCGTAGAGAATCCCACGTGGGAGCAGAGATGCCTGTGTCTGAAGGAAGTCAGAGAATGGTCTCCATGAGCTGTTGGAGACTGATGACAAGGCAGAGAGACATCTGAAGCCCGTGGAGAACCCCATGCCAGAGCGGGCGTCAGCTCCCTAAGAAGCCGTGACTCTTTGGGGGAGAAGCCCGCGCTGGATCAATCTGATGGGTAAGGCTTGCATCCTGCAGGAAGGACTCATGTTGGAGAAGTCTGGGGACTGTCCTTTGAGGAGGGGATCCACTGGAGCAGAGGAAAAGAGCATAAGGAGTCCTCCTCCTTTAAGGAAGGAGTGGCCAAAACAACATGTATGAACTGACCTGCAGCACCCCCCCATTCCCCATCCCCCTGCACTGCTGGGGGAGGAGGTAGAGCTGGGAAGAAGGGAGGGGCGGAGGGAAGGTGTTTTTCAGATCTGGCTTTGTTTCTTGTTATCCTCTCTGAATGAACCATGAACAAATTAAATTGATTTGTCCCCAAGCTGAGCCTGTTTCGGCCAGGGCCGTGGTTGGTGGGTGATCCCTCCCTGTTCCTTATCTCAACCCTCGGGCCATTTTTCTC